ACAATCGCCATAACCTTCCCAATGTCATCTCCTTCTATGTACTCTACCAAGGTTAACGACAACGGTTTCAGTTGCACGTCCATGTTGGATAAGGGCTCCTATAGACGTCTTTACTGTATTTGTAACCTAAATAGTATATCGATGCAACGTGGACTCTCTATATAGATACGCGATAGAATAAGGTTGTTTTCAGAACAAACGTGAAGGTAGGTGCATTTATTTCAAATATTTACATACATCTTCATACACCCTAAAATATTGGTGAGAAAAAATCAAGAGCACGGAACGGAATCAGTGACTCACTGATCTGTTATTGATAAATATATAAATAGAAATCCCGCCCAACGGTAGTCGCTTGCCCATTGGTTCTTCATGCGTCATGGCAAAAGTTGACGGTCATCAGAATTTGAATTTGTATGACTCTCCCGGTGACCCGGTCCCTTGTGCATTTGAGGAATTTGCTTTTTGGCGTTATGTATGTATGACTCGGATAGTATGACATTAAGATATCAAGCCGTACAGAGATATCAAGCCGTACAGTATGTACCTTTAATATAGTGTTACAAATATTTATCATGGTACTATCAATGCACACTAGAGAGTGAATAAGCGCATACCTTGTCCGTGTGTATATCAAATAATGGCATGCACAATGAATGTCTGATTATATTACGTCGGACTAAGCACACAGCAACACCGTTAAGTGATATTTGGCGATCATCTTGTCTCGTGTGCCTTAGGAAAGTTAGATAGCAACGAGCTCTCATCTCGTACATAGTATGAAGTAGCCTCCTTCATTAGCAAAAAATCGATATATCTTTGTCTGGAGTTATAGAATGATGGGATTTCAAGTTATTGCGTGTGCACACAGTGCCAAAAGACGGCTCAAAACGCGGTCACTAACACGAGTATGCGATGGCATGAAAACTAGTGTGGTTACAGATGGAGTGCGTAGTAGTGTGTGTTTACGGCCGTATGGGATTAGTACACAATGGGTGCACTATACACAAAGCTCTATTGGTCTTAGAATACATGGCAAGTTTACTATAAGTAGGAGTGTACCCAAAAAATCATGTTTTTTTGCAAGTGTACGAAATGGGCGAGCAGATGTGCCAAATCCTTGCACCAATCTTCACAGACACTATCACTCACCTATGAGAACCACAGCCAACAGTAGTACAGGAAATGCCATGCCATTGGAGACAGTGTTAAGGTCTTATACTTTTCCGAACAATGGAATGACTCGACCACGAGTGACTGAGCGTATGAGGTGAGCAGAGTGTAATAGTTTGTTCGAGGGTGTAATAGTTTGTTCAGTTAAACTGGATACATAGGAATGATTGCGTATGGATATGAATGGACTATGTAGCTTATATTCCATCATACTCAAGCGCAAGTGAATAATAGTTATATACGGTTTTTAACATCCGTATATTGTATCTATACTTGCCGCGTAGCGCTCATCTTTTGTCTAATAATGTGCTGGGAATGCATGCTGAACCGTAAATGCTATTCCTCGGTGGACTCGAACTTTTCCATCCAGCAGTTAAGAAGTTCTAAAATATTTCGAGTACGACATACTACGGCCACTCATTTGTTACAACTATAAAAAAAATTTCTAACTATGTATTGAGCATATTCCTAACATATAGGCCGTGCATTTGCACATATTTTTACTCCTACACATGTACATTGCTGAAATAATATATATAAATATATGTATATGTCACTTCCACAAGAGCATTCTTCAAGGCAATGTGGGAAATACAAGACTACTATAACTAATAATTTAGTTTTTACATTTTACAAAAACTCCCGCAATAAAT